TCCTTTAGCAACCTATCAAATTCCTTGAACGACAAATTCTTCATCAAAATCGAACCGCCTCTAGAACTTCCAACCCCAGCTGCCGGAATCCCTTCTTTTTCTTCCCTCTTATTGATCTGCTCTTTATAAAAACGGCTTTTCGGCTTTGATGGATTGCTCATAACTATTGCATCTTTGCCTGTCAGCTCTTGTACCACGGACTTAAAGCTTGTAGCATCCGTCTCTATATACTTGGTGTTGATGATCACAACCTTCATTGGCTCTCTTCCACTTGCCATTTGAGATTAGCTTAGCTAGCAAGTGTTGTAACGTCGAATTGTTATATAGCTCGAATCAAACAGTTCGGGCACTCCAAATAACTGCTATAGAGGGTTTTCGCTGTTTGATTTGGGTGGTTTTAATGGGATTCACTTATATAGAGGAAAATAAGATAGCAAAGGAAGAAAGTAAGAGAAGAACTTACAGAAACTCGTACAGGGTAGGTTGGAAGTTTAATGGCTTAAAAGCTTTGAAAAGATTAAAGATGAGATTGTTTGACCGTTATATGTTCTAAGTTCTGAGCAGTCTAGAAGGACCAAATTAAAATTGATTGAAAATTGTAAAATAAAAAATTGATTGGGTCAAAAGTAAGCTTATTTGATTCGCACATGACAGGAAATTTCATGCTGAAATACATGTACAAATGCCGTCGGTCAAGCCCACATGTAAACATATGTTGGCACCTTGCTTGCTTGACGTGATCCGAATCTAGATCCCTAAGGAGCCTTTAATTCAGTGGTTGATGTAGACGTTGGAGTAGCGATGACTATCACGTTACGCAAGTGATTCAAGCATTGCCAAAAAGATTGATTATGGACTTTTTTTTTTTTTAGTTGTAAATGTTTGTCTTCATCAAGTTTAGTTTCAAATTGATATTATGATTACCATCGAAGAAAAGTTTAAAAATATTTAAAATATTCAAAGAGGGAGACCAAAAATACCATTTTGGATGGATGGGAGATTAAAAGAAAAGAACTGTTTCTCCTAAAATGACTTGCAATCGATGAAAGAAAGAAAAAGAAATTATCTAAAGGGACTCTAATTGAAGGAAATTGAAATAGTAGTCAAGTCATCCTACTAGTATAGATATTTTTATTTTATTTGATATTTTAAAATCAACCATTAAACTTAAATAGTGATTGTAGATGAATTCTTATTGAGTAGATAATAATAATACGATAACTTTCTTGAAAAAGATAATAATAATAATAATACGATATGTCAACTAATTAAAATAATTCTTTTGTGACTATTTAAGTAAAATTGGTGCATGATTTGACTTCAACCCATTTGAATTTCCATATTTTATACAGTTGTATTTTTATGCTTTCTTGATGATCTTGTCTTGGTGCTTTGTCAATCTATTTTCTATAATCTCATATTATCGAGGCAGATTTAGTTGGTGAAAAACAAGTTCATTAAGGGGTGAAGAATACGTAATGCAGTTATTAATTAATTGAATGGTTCGTGTAAGTTTTTACTTAAAAACTCCAATTTAATTTTTTTTAAAAAAAAATCGAGTGATAAAAATGATCACAAATTTATCTTTTATGGTCATTAGTTATTACAAAATTTAAAACGAGAAACCAATTTTTTCTACTGAAATTAAATTATCTCTTCTCGATTCATTAGTATTTGATTGCTATATTTTTTTTCAAGGAAATATGTTAATGGATTTAAAATTTCAATATTCAAATGTCAAATTCAAATATTGAGACTGTAAACCCGATTCATAAGAAGAGAAAATGTTACTTCTATTAATGTAGTCAAATGTCCAATGGATTTGCACATGTACCAAAATAAAAACAATTAATTGCTACTTTAATTAATTTAATTGACTGGACACACATAATTAATTATGATTGGTACACAAGCAGTACATGTTTACTGGGAAGATAAAGTCCAATTCTTTTACTTTTTTTTGTCTTAATTCTAAATTATGGAGGCGTTATAGCCGTGATTCTTAATTAAATATTTAATTTGAGTGTCACAATGAAGCAGGCCATAAGGATTCCTTGAAAATAAAATTATCTATATAAGCAAAGGTCAACTTCGTCATACAAACTAGTATGGGTACTGCCAATAAATGACCACAAATCTTGACTGGTCATTGGAGACTTGGCTTAAGAAAAGGTCACTTTTGGCTACAAGTTCTATCTGTTTCTATTTTTATTTTTCAATATGAAAAATATATGACTAATACAAATTTGTAATTGCTTTATTTTTGGAAAAATGGGGAAAGGAAAGGAAAAAAAGGCAAAAGCTGATGAATGGAGGGTGGAAAAGGAAGGAGCAAGGAGAAAATTAAAGTTTGAAAAGGCATAAAAATTTGGAAAAAAAAATCAAAGATATTTTGTTTACAAAACTATTAATTGATTAACTTTTCTAGTTCTTTTATTTCTAAAATCTTACTAAAAAAATAATGAAATTGGTTCATTACAAGTAATCTTGACATTTAAGATTTTTACCCAAATCTCACTCTACCATTATCATTAAAGTTAAATATTTAAAAAAATTCAGCATTTTCGTAAAGAGACAAACTTAGATGGAGTAAAATTAAGATAAAGATAATAAACTTTTCTAATTAGAAATGATTAAATAAAAATGAAATCTAAAAACCCAAACCCACATAGAGTAATAGAGTAAAAAAGAGTAGATCAACTGCACATAAGGAATTACCGAATTAAGGGTCGTAATTTATATAAATTAAAATTTGACTTGGTAAGTTTTGTTAATTACGACCTATCACCTATACAGGTCACTAATGATGCGACTCACTTAAGGTCAAATCCCATAACAATTTATCCATAATAACTCACTTCAGCCCATGCGATCCATAAAAACAAATCTCATAAGAATCTTCTCATGCATCCACATATCTAATGATCAGGCCAACACATAGTATTGTTTATGCAGCTCTTTGGGGTTTGGTCTTGTATTAGGTTATAGATCATGATTTTAATCAAATCCTTACTCTTTCAAGCTTGAATCAGAAAAATAATACATATTATTAATTTAATTGGAACAACAAAGTGCAATCCTTTGACACTATTTTTCAAAGTCACTTTGGTAATTCAGACATGGTTGGCACGTACTTGGTCCCCAGTGTCGAGTGGAAATTCAATGGGTGTCCCAATATTTCAGCTCAAAAGGATGGAATGATTATAACACTCGTTTCTTTAGGGCTTACCTAAAATTATTAAAAGTATCATTAACTAAGTCAAGGTCTTGCAAGCAAACAAATTGTCTTAACTTGGGCTGAAAGGAATAGTAGCTTAGAAATATAATTGATAAGAAGGATTAATAATTTTTTAATGAAGATTGGGACATGCTAGCAATGCTACGAGACCAATTTTTCTTTGGGCAGTTGTGCTTCTAAAGGAAACCATAAAGTTTTCTTCTATCGTGTTTTGAAAATGTAAGGGGAAAAAGTAGAGAGGAAGAGAAAAGGGTGAGAGAAATGCAAATGTAGACCGCTATTGGGACAGCGAAAACAGGAAACTTCTGGTTGACAAGTTTAGAAAGGGTCATTTTTAGTACGAGCACCGTACTTGCTTAATCCAATCACAAGGAGCTCTAAATCAACACTCCTTTACGCAGGCCACATCTTGGGTTAACAAGAAGAAAGAAAAAAAGACTAAAATAAAAGTTTTAAGTTTTAATTATAAATTATAAAAAATTAAAATTTTAATATAAATTATAAAAATTAATTTTTGAATTTAAAATTATATTATAAATTTGTTAATATTTTATTATTTTAAATATAAAGAATAAAATAAAATAATATTAATTTTTTAGTTATAAATTATTAATATTTTAAATGAAATGTAATTCTAAAAATTAAATTAAAATTTTAAATAACAATTTATTAATATTTTTTATAAATTATTAGAAAATCAATTATTTTCAATTAAAATCAAATATTATAATAAAAGACCTTTTTATCTTTTTATCAACTATTCATTTACTATTAAAAAGTTATACTTACCCACCAAGCATTGAAATAATTTATAATAATAATTTTTATCATATTCCATTACATGAACCAAATTACATAATAAGTATTCTTACTTTATTTTATTTTTATAGAATAATCAAATAATAAATATTCATATCTTATTATATTCTTATAAAATAATTATTTTATGCTTCTTTTTATTTTATTTCGTGAATCAAACATACTTTTACTATAATCTACTATGATTATCACAGCTTTGATTAGTCCCTAATAATCTTACAAAGTTTGGTTGACTTGAAATAGGATTAAGATTGCACATTTAATATTTAATACCGTATAGTTGATCTAGACTAAATTTCTGCGTGTTCTAATTTTTGTATTTGGTGCAAACTTTATAAACACAAAAGAAAAATGGTTTTGTTTTTGTAAATAATAATTCGTAGATCCAATTTTGGTAATGATATCCCATCCTTCATTGAATGAATGAAAATTCACTTATTCCAAAAAAAAAATTCTTATCAAATAATAATAATTAATAACAATATCACATTTTCTCCTTAAAATTTAAAATATGTATAATAACTTTGGGTTTATGTGACACATATAAAGTGTTTAGAGAATCAAGAAAAGCATTCCTATGAAGGAATACATAAATTTTGAACTCATTTAAAAAAAAACAAAATTGTGTTTTGAGATTATTAAATAGCATTTTATACCAAGGTCCAAAATATTTCAAATCTTACCTATTTGAGATTTACATTTTAGCCTTCATAAATTGATATTTGACCTTTATAAATTGAAAATTTCTCTACATACATTTAGCTGCATATGCTACGGTTCATTCCCCTCAGTTGGGCTGGAGCAACTACTCATATGAAAAAGAATTAAAATTCACTCACATAAAATAATAATCTTTCAGAAGGAAACACTCCTCGGTTACAATTTGAAACTTTAAAATTTCAAGTTACAAGTTAAATTTCCAAGATAAGAGGAACACCAATTCATGAGGTGAATAAAAAATTACTTTTCAATATATAATTTAATGTCCAATCGATCTTTATATGTACAAAAAAAAATCATAAAATTATAAATATAATACTCTTAAACACATTTATGCATATCAAACATGCACCAATTGACATGCATCCGGACCCAAAGAATCATATTCGAATCCCTATTTTTTTCTGAATCCATATAACCATCAGCCATTTCTGAATCATCTTTTGATTCCTTTTCTGGCCTCTTGTTAGGGGCTTATGCATGGTTTGCCACTTGCCCAAAATCTTGGAAATTTCTAAGTCAAAATCAAGCATAATTGATTACTTAATTATGGCTCAGGATACCAAAATATCTATATATGTAGTTTTTGGTAAATATTTGGCGCCTAGTAATTTAATGCAATTTTGCAATTCTTTAGGAAATATATATTTTTATTTATCAATGAAAAAAAAATGCAAGCTTCTACATATGGAAGAGAGAGATTTATGTCATAACCATTGATTAAGGGCATTAATTTCGAAAATCAAGAAAATTAAGAAGTAACTGTAAAAGAACCTTTTAGAAAATCATATTGAATTCAGATTTTTTGGAACCTTTTTATGTAAACAACATGGAAAGAAATCAACTGAGATCATGCACACAGGGAAAATGAATTAAAACATAACCCAAAAGGCAAAAGCCATTGACTGCCTGGTTGGGAAAAAAAATTAAAAGACCTTTTAAGATTCCTTTATCAATCCCATATAAAATAACTACATTTAAATTGGACCCAAATTTGTTGTTAGAACACCAAAAACAAACGTAGGAGTATTGGTAAAGATGGCTCTGCAGCTTGGTTTTGCCAGGGTTTTCTTTGCAATATTCCTTGTGGCATCCCTCGCCACAGCTCACAATGCAAAGACTTTCAATGTAAGAAATTATGGTGCCGTTGCCGATGGACGAAAAGACAACAGAAAGGTACCACTGTTGGATGCTTTGTATGTCCTTTGTTTTTTTCTTTTTTTGGGGGTAATTTTTTATGTGTATTTGTATGTTCTCGTGTTGGTATAGGCTTTTTTGAAAGCATGGAGTGACGCTTGCAATCAGAAAGGAATTTCCAGGGTTTATATCCCTGGAGGAGTTTACATGTTGGGAACAGTGGAATTCCTGGGTCCTTGCAAAGGGCCAATAACGTTTTTGATGACAGGAACTGTAAGAGCTCCAACCGGTCCTTTGAGTACTGATGGATGGATAACATTTCGATATGTAAACAAGTTGATAGTGAAGGGAGGTGGAACATTGGATGGTCAAGGAGCCTCTGCTTGGCCTTACAATGAGTGTGACAAGAACTCTAATTGCCGGTCTCTTCCTATTGTGAGTATATTTTTAGTTTTCTTTTCTATCAATGGTGTTGAGATTCCTCATTATTGATGACTTAATTATTGTCCTGGTTTTCAGTTTTGACGTAAACATTTTGAAGAAATTTTTCCTTTCATTTTATTATATGAAGTTTCTGATTCTATTGCTTCATAAATATTATAGGAAAAACCAATTAATTGTAGTTTTGCTGATAGAAAAATGGATATCTAACTTTCTGGCGGCCTGATTCAGTCAATAAAATTCGAGTTCGTGACGAATTCCAGGATTAAGTACATAACATCAATCAATAGCAAAAATGGGCATCTCTCATTCTTCGCCTGCAAGAACGTAAATGTGACAAACATCGAGTTATCGGCGCCAGGTGACAGCCCTAATACAGATGGAATCAAGATTGGAAGCTCAAGAGACATCCGAATTTCGAGCTCCAGAATAAGCACTGGAGATGATTGCATAGCCATCCTCGCTGGAAGCACAAACATAGACATTTCCTACGTTTACTGTGGCCCTGGACATGGAATCAGCGTAGGAAGCCTTGGCAAGTTCCCCGATGAAGACGATGTGAAGGGATTGGTTGTAAGGCGTTCTACTTTCAATGGAACAGACAATGGTGTTAGAATAAAAACCTGGGAATCTCCCTGGAGAAGCACTGCTTCCAATTTCACATTTGAAGACATTTTCATGGAAAAAGTTCGCAATCCCATTATCGTTGATCAGGCATATTGCCCCCACCCTCCATGCAATCAACAGGTAAAATTACTTTCTAATGGAAAATGTTTCTTGAATTAGGGTCGTTCATTTCCAATGTTGTAGATATGGGGCACTAATCCTCTTACAAAGATATAACAACTGTTGATGTAATGTTTGTTCTTGGTATGCAGACAGCCTCTCATGTACAAATCAAAGATGTTACGTACAGGAACATATGGGGCACATCCAGTTCACAGATTGCAGTTTCAATTGATTGCAGCAAACAATTTCCATGCAAAAACATAGTGATGAAGGACATCAATTTGGCTCATCTTGGACGTGAAGGACCTTTAAAATCACATTGCTCCTATGTCGATGGCCACTTCTATGGCCGACAGAATCCTCCCTCCTGTTTTTAGTACTCTAATTTGCAGCATTTTCATTCTGAAATTCAGCTTCAGGTTTAGGATCATTTACTCACTCTACATGTAATTCTGGGCTCGTACAGCCGTCTGCAAATTTTCCGTATACATAGTTTCTCGCTTTCTTTCTTGCCCTTTTTGTTTTTAATAAAAGAAAATTTGTACTTGTGACTGTAATTCAGAACTGGGTTTAGGGTTGTACATTGAACAATTGCTTGTTATTACACAAGATCCTTCGGATTTGAGTCTTATTTCCCTAAAACCTTATGATTGTTATATATATGAATATGATTTTGTCTTGAAAAAAAAAAAAAGAAACCTTCCATAAATTTCATGGCTCCTTTGTTTTAATTTGAACTTGCAATAATTAGACTCTAAAGTGTCAAGTTTTTAATCTTTGGTCTCTTCGAAGACAATTGAATCTAGAAGATCATAATTCAAGAAAAATAAAATCGAAAAGTTATAGAAATTCTTAAGTTTTTGTATAGATATTAAAATGCAAATCAAGTAGGCACCGGTGTTTAGAAGTGAAGTAGAAAATATAATTTTGTTAATGTAAATTTGGAAAAAAAAAATGATTAAATAGAAGTAAACAAATAATGGTTGATTTATTACAATTTTTTGTGTAATAATAAAAAACAGAGTATTAATCGGTTAAATCGATTTAGTATAAAAATAAAAAATCAAACAAGTCAAGAATTTATAACAAAAAAAGTAATTAAATCAACCAAACTACCTCATAAAACAAGACAGAATTAATCGGTTAGATTCAATTGATGTTTTCAAAAAAAAAAACCGGTTAAGTACAATTGGTTTTTTTTTTTTTTTTGTTTATCGTTATGTTGTAGAAAGAATAAAATGAGCAAGTGAAACAAGCCATAACTTGTGCCTTGTGGGTATGACGACTCATAGTTGTCGATAGTTCTTTGATGTCTTTGGAGCTTTGATTGTTGTCGGAATCATGGGTTAGTGGTGCTGGTTGTTGATATTGATGACAGATTGTCAATTTGAGGTTTGATGGGCAGACGTTTAGAGCAAAAGAGAATTAGGAAATTATTGATTCGATTATTTAGTCTAATCAGGTTGAAATATTTAATTGAATAAGCTAACTAAATCGAAAAAATATTAAAATTGAACCTAGATAATCAAATAAGGTCAATTTCAATTGATTTTTTTATTTTTAATCGACTCTTGCAAATAGTTACAACTACAATAAACTTAAATATTAATTAAACATAGATCATATACTTTTATGTCTAGACTATAGTTATCAATATTATATAAAATGTGATGCATATTATACGACATATTACGATATTAATAAAAATCGTTACAAATCAATATATTACATTATTTTGATTAAATATCAAACATGTATCACACAATGCGCATATGATACTATATACTTTTTAAGTTTTATTTTACTCTTGTCTTTAGTTATTTGTTTGTTTTTTCTCTTGTACTCACTACTATTAAAAGAAAAATTAATAAAAAAAACACTAAATATTGCTTTATCCTCTCTCGATTACTCTCTTTCGTATTACTTGTTTGAATACTAATTTTCTCTCTAGTTTTTCCTTATAGAAAAATCTTATCGTTAGTATATTTTCACATCTATCAAGTGCTTAAAACAACCACTGTCAATGAGCCAAATAGTTTTTCAAATGTAAAATGCCTTATTTATAGTCAACACATATCAGTTTAAAATATTTTAATATTTTAATTTTTGTAAGTTGGATGTATATAGTCTAACATTTCTTTTACATGTAAAATGATTCTATATGTTACGATATTAATGAAAAACAATACAAATTAATATGTTGCATCATTTTGATCAAATATCAAATTGCACGATATGCGTACAATATCATATTTTTTAAGTTTTATTTTACCTTTATTTTTATTTATTCTTCTCTCTTGTACTCACTAAGATTAAAAGAAAAATGAATGGAAAAAAATATTTAGTTTTATTTTAGTTTCTCTTGGTTTCTCTCTTTTCTCACTATTAGTTTAATCAAAGTATCGAACATATATCACATTATATGCGTACGATATCATCTTTTTTTAAGCTTTATTCTACCTTTATCTTGTCGAGTTTTTTTTAAATGTACTCCATGTATAGGGCATTTTTGACAATAGACCTTTTCATAATTTTAACTGTTTTTAACTAAGAGAATTAAAATTTAGATAAAATTACCTTTCATGAAATCGATCTATTTATTTGACTCTGCGACTCAACCCAAAACCTATTAATGGGTCAAATATGTTTAAGTCTGCATCTAAAACCAACTCATATTTTTTTGGCTTTCCTCGTCAAACTATACATCTCTAGAATATTCATTACCAAAAAGAAAAACATTTAAGCATTTTGAACATTTTGGAATAATTTTTGATACACGAAGAAAACTTATGAGCGTTTTAAGCATTTTTAAGCATTTTGGAGTAATTTTTTATATATGAAGAAAAACCTTTGAACATTTTGAGCATTTTTTGTCAAGTAGGTATATTTGTTAATTATGTTGTTAAATGAAATATGGTGTATCGTTTGAAGTTATTGATCTTATTAAATAAAATTAAGTAGTTTTGATGGTTTTTGGGTATTACATTACTAGTTTTTAGGTATTGCATGATTGACTTTGGATATTACGTGACTGATTTTAGGCATTGCGTGTCTAGTTTTTAAGCATTGCGTGATTAATTTTTAAGCATTGCGTAATTGACTTTTAGTATTGCGTGACTAGTTTTTAAGTATTGCGTAATTGACTTTCAGCATTGCGTGACTAGTTTTTAAGTATTACGTAACTGGTTGATATGACATTACATGACTAGTCGGTAAACATTGCGTGACTAGTTAGTAAGGTATTGCTGACTAGTTAGTAAGATATTGTTTAAAAATCAATCAAGCAATGCTTAAAAACCAATCACGCAAAGCCTATAACTAATCATGTAATATCTAAAAATCAGTCACGTAATACTTAAAAACTAGTCTAATCTATTTCATCTCTTCAACTTTAGAGTTTTATGAATAAACCGATAAATTTCAAGACTTAAAAGATTTTTTTTTTTTTGTTAAGCCATGAAATTGTGCATTTTATAAAAGATACGTTACAAAACTCCGTAACCCTCCAAAACAAGACAAAATATATTCATATCGGGAGGGCTTTACTCACTCCCTTTATACAAAACAAAATATATTCCCTTTACGAAATATTCTTTAAACAATTTTAACTCAAAATCTCATAAAAAAATAAAAATCTCTAGCAAACATGCTTAACAATCATCCCAATCCCGGACATAATAAAACCGTAAACCACTATAAAACCCATCAAACATGCTTTAGCTGTTCTTTTTCTTTGAGCCCATCATTTTAACCAATCCAATCCAACTCATCAATACAAGCATCTCCATTATAGCACACGTTTCGAAGCAAATCATCACAAGAAAGCATCGAGTTATCATATTCATAATGTTGCCTGCAATCATTATAAAAGAGCAAAATCGTTGTTTATTATCTTTGAGAACCCCAAGATCCACCATCCAAAAAATAAAACAAAATAAGAAAAAGCTTGATGTCATCTCTACTCTTTTGATGGCAAGATAGATAGTATTTGACCAGAGAGAAAAATCAAGATTTAATTTTGAAATTTTTGTTAGGATGGCGGAATAAAGAAAATTGAAATCATTTTAATTTGTCTGAAACAATTATTCTGTGCATGGTTGTTAATTCAGATGATGTGATTTCTCCAAAAAGCTTGTAAAGATAAGTTTTTTTAGATAATTCTTTAGGTGAGATGATATTCTTGAATTTTACGATGAAAGGATTCAAGAAATGGACTCGATAAATGACTGTTAATTGTAATAATTAATTATGAATTTGCATCCTATTGACACGCGCACATATGAATAATGGTTTCAATATGAAATTTTCTCATTAACTTTGAAAAAATAAGTTTCTCACGAAATTTTTTAAGTGAGAGAGTAATTTCAGATTTGACGAGAAAGATGAAAAAACTCAAAAAATACTCTTAATAAACTATTATAGTTCGTATTTAATAATTTGAACTTGAGGATGGTCTATGATAAATAGACTCGTGATAGAGTGTCAGATGGAAGTATGTCGTTGCTGATATGGAATGCCACGCTTTCTTTGGATTTTTGAATTCAAGTTTCACATCCATATGAATACTAAAATATTAAAAACTATATATATATGAGAATGAGATAGGGATAGGGAGGAACAGAAAAGGATAATCCAGAAGAAAGGACCAGAAAGCAGATGCGGACTTCCCATATCTTGTTTGGGATCCCTTGTACAATTTCGAGACAAGCCATGCTGTGAGCCCGAGGGATGTAAAAAGATTAGCCCAAAAGGGTAATCTGATGTGACATGCTTGACGATCGAGGTTGGCCAAGTGAACTTTTTATTTGTCCTTGAGTTGAAAAATATGGCATCAAAAACATGGAAGGTTTCTTACTTGTAAAACAGGCCGCATGGTTGAGTGTTTTTTGCCGGATTGACCATAACCATATATACACACCTATTATATCTGTTAAAGGTTTAAGTGCTGCTAGTCCCAATTTACACCAGTCAAAAGCGCTTGGAAATGATATACAACTTTAATATAAAAATGAAAACAAAATAATCACTCCATATAAAAAGATATTAGGGTTTATTTTTATGTTTTAGTCACTTAATTTTTTATAGGTTACCTGTTATGTTACTGTAATAACAAAAAAAAAATTGATATGTTGTATTTTTTTTATTAAGAATGGAACACGATACATTTTCCATTAAAAAAAATGATACATCTTTTAAGCTTTATCTTATCCAATTAGTAAATACTCATTTATTTATTTATTTATTTGGTTGAAACATAATAAACTATATTTTTATGGATTTTAATGGTTAAAATTTAGATATAGATAAAAAATACTTAAAAAAATTACTCTTTTAACTCAAACATGTTAAATGCTTTTTAATTTTTAATTAATAAATTAAAATAAAAAATGTCTTATTTAAAAATAATTATTATTAACGAATATGTGGAGAGTTTAAATTAAAAATAATTCAACTTATGCCATATAGTGGTTAATTTTATTAATAAAGGAATTTTTTTAAAAAAAAATATTTTATATGCATATATGTTATTTATAATTAAAAAAAAAAACCTTGATGAGACAAGATAGAACTCCATCAATCCACCACATTTAAGGCAAACATAATAATAATTAAAAAAACAAAACAAGATTCCTAGTTTTAGTCTATGGTATTGTATTACTTAGGCTTCTTACTGTTATATTGTGGACATAGTGTTCCTTTTCTGGACCTCCCTTCGGTTAAACAAAATTGAAATTTATAAGTTAGACCTAAGAAGAATAAAAGCAGAGCTTGACAGGGTTTCAATTGCAGGCCCTGATTAGATTGCAGCATACTCTATCAAGCTATCAAGCAAAGGATGCTGGTTTAGAGCTCATTTCCAAAACTATTGAAGGAGTGTGATCTGGTGTATAATGACACCAGATCCTCACTCAGCATGAGCATGCTTAAAACCATCATTAGGAATACATGGAGACTTAGGACCAAAGAAACTCCAAAGATGACATTGTCAAAACAGAAGGGATGGAATAAGGTAAAAAATTCTCAAAGGTCAGGCTTCAATCCGAAGCATGGTCACGATATATCTTCAGTCAAAGATAAAAGTATCTGTTGCGACAGAAAAGATGGAAACAATGAAACAAAGGAAAGTTTCACCATCCCTTCAACACAACAAAGTTTCTCTCCACTGGGAAGTCACCCAATTCCATCCATGGATCTTAAAAGCCTTCATTGATCAGTTAATGCAATGTTGGACGGGTAACCCGAGGCCTCACAGGTGTCTTTGAAGGACTTACCCTGAAAGTTAAGAAATTGAAACATAGCAGCATTAGCTTGATAGATGGTTTTTGACAAGCATTGAATTTAGAGCAACAATTCAGAAACACACCTGATAGGCTGGGTTCCTAACACCATCCCGCTACAATTCAGAGCAATTATTGCACTTTCCGCCTGTCCATAAAGGGGAAAATAATCAGACTGTGCCAAGGCGCAAAACTTCATGCGGGTAAAATTATTACTTAGCAAAAGTATTAGGCTATAGGTTTCATTAACTCATTAACTACCATCAAATCTTTTTGGATAAAATGTATGCACAAAGACACCATGCTTTCTGCTAATGATGATTGGCTCAGCTGTGCACGCATGCATGCACAACTGATTTATCACAAAAGTGGAAGGACAGATACATATCATAGCACAAACAAGCTGTAATGTGGCAAAAGAATTCAGTGGACAACAAGCAATCAGACGGAGAAGTTTGATCATGCAACCTGTTTATGTAACATCTATGAAAATGCTTTGCAATATCTTAATGAACTATGAAATAAGTCATTCAACTCACATGCACATACATCCTCCACAAGCAAAAAAGAAATAAGTGATTATATATATAGGATTATTATCCTATATATCGTCAGTGGAATTTTTATATACCAAAAGCGGGGTTAGAGGGTAGTCATATTCCCGTTAGGATACGTTTTAAAAAATTAATAAATTAATGGGATAAATAATAGAACATGTGGCAATTTTCTAACCCTGCTTGTGAAGTTCAAAAACTTCACCGGCAGAGTATAAAATAACAGACCTATATCTATGTATTTTTCCAAAGTGTATAGTGTTGTGCATAACTGCTCAGTAACCACAGTCAACAGTGTCCCAAAGGTGTTGCTGAAAAGAATTGAAAGAAAGTATATGAGGTTATAGGATTAATCAACCCAATAATACCAAGTGTGCTATTCTAAATGTAAATTGCTCAAAATAACTTTTCAGGAACATAAAGAAGCACCCGGTAATGTATATAGCTAGAGGAAAACTGAACATTCTCAAACAATTATGGTAGCATGCACTCAACAACAAAGATTATTTAATGTATTTTGATTCCCTATTACACTATTTAAAACAGCTTCTCCTCCAATTTCTTTTGCTGATTTGAACATGACTAAAGAGACACCAAAGCCATAAGCACCAAAAATTTAATGTATGTTATATCTTACACCATTCTAGTCAGTAACTAGAGGTTCATTCCATGACATCAGTTGCCAAAATCAACAAAACTTCTATCTCTATGATAAAAGAAAGATCCCTGAAACACTTTTAGATAAGAAGCTAGAAGACCCATTAGCCAGTTTATACATTATGAACCTAAATTTAGAGATCCAATCATTACAAAAGCTCAAGAGGTGTGGGTTGTCCTAAACAGGGACACGACCCTATCCAACCAAGCAAAATATAAAGGTAATACAACTACTACTACTATCATAATTTTAGTACTACCTTATCATTTAATCTTCTTGATATCATTACTAATGCACGATGCCTACTGCCATCAGATAAAAGGATGATCTCCGGTCAGATTTACCAAAAACAAGTGAATAGATCACAGATTGATAGACTACTAGGTCCTCTTTATGTTACACAGCACGGGCTCAGAAGGAAGGTTAACAGTGAGGACATGTCAACATATAACAACATTTGAAGCAAAGGCCACTGCATAAATGGAGTGAACCAGCCAACTAATGTTCTCAATCACAGGATTTTGTAGCATAAAGTAATAAACTCTTGTTTGTTTATTAGTACATAATCGATAACAGTTCCCAGATGTCTGCAACCAATTTCAGAGTATGATTTTTTTCTTTTTTTGTGCAGAACAGAGAATACGGAAGTTGAAGTCAATTTTTGCTTCTCAACGCCACTGTCCACATACTATCATCACATAGGTGAATTCATGGCCTAAAATGTGAACTAAACCCTATTTTTCTGCATGGAAAAGGTTGCCATCTCTTGGCCCCAACTAAACATATTACAGTCAAATATAGAAGACCATAAAAGAATTAACTTGAAAAAGAATCTGATCTTGCCTAATGAGAGAACATAAAGTCGCTTGAAAAGACCATGTAAGGTCGTGGTCAAGCAAGCCTTAACGCAATTTAGTAGCATTAATTTCTGTAACTTCTTAGTGCTATTACTAATATAAGGTCAATGGTTGCACCAAATCTGGATGTAGATAAGAAGACTGGTTCCAAAAAGAACTCATGTTTTATATAGACTTCATTTGGAATCCACTAATCATCTCTAGTTTAATGTTAATTTCTAGAGGATATGAAGTGAAGTTTTCACTCAAAGAAGCTCACTAGTAGCAGGTACATTTAGCATAATCAGACCCAGAAACATAGTTCTCAAACCATCATAAACATAATCTCAACATGATTTTGAACCCAAATCTTTGTCAACATTAATTCTGTAAACATGATCTTACCATGGCAAATTCAACAAAAGCAATACGGGTTGAATGCACATGATCCCCTAAAAGCCTCAAGCGAGTGACCTAAGAATTAAAAGAAAATGATATCAACCTTCAAAAGACCTCTACCTTTAATCTCCATGTCAAAAACAGTTAGAGAAAGGCACGCATCATTTTGATACTGCACTAACCTCACCACAGGCCGATTCGAAGAAATTCTTCACTTCAGCTTGAGAAACCTACAGTCGAAGTGAAAACGCTTGTGAAGATTAGATCAACTAAATGTAAAAGTTAAAATGAATAATATACACTTTAATGGAATAGATGATAACTAATTACTGCTATTATATAAGTGCAGAAAAATACTCAAACTTTCATGTGAGTAAACCAAGGGTTACCTTCTTGTCAATATTTGTACAATAAACTGTCCTAGTACACATTTCCCTTTCATCTTCTGACTGCATTTAGTTAATATAATCATCAACAGTGAAGGCTAGAAAGAAATATATACAGTGAAACTCCAAGAGCTATGTAGTAATGGAGAAACAGCATAGCACAAAGTGAAGCATTCTTCAAAACTGAGACAGCAAAAAGCCAGAAAGTTACTCATCCATACCCTAGGGAGAAATGTAGGGTTCACAGGAAGGATGGCAGTTTTTGAAGGCAAAACCTTAACAGGATAGAACCCAAGCATGGTCCCACCAAGGCTCAAAGCAGCTCTTGCACCTTCTGTGAAAACAAATTTCAATAAAATGTAACATGGGAATAAATACACATTGATCTATACAAGGAAACTTTAATTTCAGTTTACAGCAGCTGCTTACCTTCATCTGCGAATTCAACAAATGCAAAGCGAAGAACTGAATGTGGATCACCACAAACTCGGCAATCAACAACCTACAAAAATAATAATTCCCAATCCACTTCAGAATTGTTATATATATAGTATCTATCACATAAGCTATCAAGTGGAAACCAATCCTATCTAGTGGTACCAACCAAAGACACAACATCCTTTTTTCTCTCAGGGAGAGAGGAGAATACTAAAACTTCAAAATCAAACTTGGAAGTTCTATTGGCATTTAAGAATGTTCTAATAGAAGAACCAAAATATGAAATAAAGAGCCATGCTTCAATAAGATACAAAAATGGAAAACACAGAGGCTTTTGCACGTATCAGAGAGTGAGAGAGAACTCTATATATGGAAATGATAAACCTAGAATGCTGTTATAAATAATTCTGCTTTTCTTACAAAAGAAGGATAAAGCTGTGCAATGTACAGGATCGGCCAGGAGCAAGAGATATAACAACAAAAGATTTCAAGTGAGTATTGTAACTTACTTGTCCACAATTACTAAATAAGCCAGCAAGCCGCTCTTCAGTAATCTAAAACCAAGAAAGAAATTATTTTTTAGAAGTGACTTCTCCAAATCAGAATGAAACAACATAAAAGTTGGAAAAATGGTGATGTTGGCCTTTGTTTAAACTTACAGTCTGATCAATATCAGAAACATATACTGTCCGCCTAATACCATCTTCTCTTTGAGCTCGAAAAGCTCTACCGTTAAGCCTTCTTCTGCCCTGGTTGTAGTTATTTCTTCTCTGAAAAATACAACTATAACCATTTACCAAATTTAACCAAGGTAAAAAATCAACAAATTCAAGATCATCACGTGTCCATATTCAGCATAACATCATCCAACATATGACGAGGAGAGGAAGGAAAGCTACCTCCAATCCAATCAAAGTTCCAACAAGTCAATCAACGTAACAATTAAACAACAATTAGGCAGACTAAAGCCCTTGAAAGTATAAATGCCAGCAAAACACAACAATTTGTTAATCCAAAGAAAAAAGAAATAGAAACCAGTTCAAAATGCAAAAATGAATAGGCAAAGACACAGGAAGCAAATTGCCAAATTAAACCCATTAGGATTGCAAAACAAAGTAAACCCTTAAACCCCAATTCAACTATGCAATCAAAACTATATCCAACCCCAAAACCCTCATCATCAGCAAAATTACAAGGAAAAAACATTTTCCCACAACAGAAAAACAACCCCAAAAGGAAAACTAGAATTAAAAATTAACAAATACCTAGCATTCAAAACATAAATGTAAAGAAAAATGCAATTACAAAAAATGTAAATGATCCGTGAGAAATAGATTACCCTTCTGTTGGAGAAATTCTCATTCCCAACTGATTGCTTATTGATAGGCACCTGATTAAAATTATTATTATTATTGGTCTGATTATGATGGTAAGATGATGGGAAAAATTCTTTGGCCAAAGGATTCAACTTTGTGAACATATCAACCAACTTCTGCACATTAAATTCCTTTGATTCTGAGTTGGCTGTCTCCACCACCAAATTGTTGTTGTTATTGGCAGCTGCTGCTGCTGCCGCCGCCTCACCTGACTTGTCAGCAACTGCAGCCATGGAATCAAAACCCCCCAAGAAGAAAAGGAAAAAAACAAAAAACAAAAAACCGAATGACCAGAAGAAATGAGAATTTGCTTCTGTAAATTTATTCTCTTTATTTCTTCTTCCTTACTACAGAGCAAGAAAGTTGAGAGCTTTAGAGAATTTTGTTCCCTTTTCTTGATTGTTGATGCCTAATAATAGATACCCATTTAAGATAAAACTGTCTAGAAATGGCAATAAAGAGAAAATGCAGATTGGGTTTCCTTTTCTTTTCAATTTGGGTGTGTTTAAATTGAATGGATAAATATCTCAAAATTATTAAAGCCAAAAAAAAAAAGAAAGAGAAAGTAAAAAAATTAGGGCTTTTGGAGGAACTGATATGAATGATCAAAGAAAAGGAAAAAAAAAGAGAGGAGTGGAGGAAGGAACAACAGTTGTTCTTTGTGGGGTTTCTTTTCTTTGATTTTCTTCCCAAAAAAAGAAAAAAAGAAAAAGACTTTGGTGGGAGACTGGAGAGAAAGAGACACAGAGAGAGAGGGAGAGTAATAACTAATAAAGTGAGGGAGGAACGTTAAAAATAGGGGAGGGAAGGACAGCTAACGTAAAGATGACTTAAGACTTTTGTTGGTTTCTATTTTTCTCAAAGTTTTTTCTTTTTTTCTCTTTTATAGTTTCAATGTGGGGATTGGATATGTCATCATCACCCATACTCACTGCTATTTTCTGGGGTTTGTTGGGATTACAATCCCCTATTCATCCTTTTTTTTCCCTTTTTCCTCCTAATTTCCATATTTCTTATCTTTTATTTTTCTTTCTTTATTTTTATAATAATAATTCAACCTTCTTAATTTCTTATAAATTTCTGCAAAATTATTAATACTCGTATTCAAGGTCGAAGAAACCGATATTATGTAACACGACGATGAATTTTCAACGTGGTTATCAATGTTTAAGATAGTAAGCTTAATGTCCGATTCGATTCGATTTTTTAAAACGGTTTATCCACTTTAAGTAAAATTGAAAATGGAGGTTTAGTGGGTAAAACTTAAAAGTTTGAATTTTTTTGTAAAAATCAGTGATACAAAATTGAGAGAAGATGTTTTTAGTCATTTCAAAGAGTTGCAATTTGGCAATGCTTTGTAAAAAGTTCTATACCAAATATATTTTTGCCTTAGTTAGGGCAAACTTTGTTTATGTTTTATCAATAGCTACCTTGCCAAAATACTTAATTTAATTCTGAATCAATTATTGTAAGATTTTAAGATTTTTTAAGAATGTATATTATTGATTTTTAAAGAAATTATATACGAGAATAATTTAATACTTAATTCTCAATTAATCACCTTGATTAATTTTATTATTATAGTATTTTTAAAAAAAATCGAGTTTAGGACGTTAATTATAATTTATTTGTGATGTTATGGTTTTAATAATTTAATTCTTGTATTTTAGAGCTTCGTGGCATGTGAAATCAAGAAATCAACGTGATTTTGGTGTGTTTGACAATTTGGTTTATATTAATCCAATGCTGATGTTTTGTCTTGGAACGTGGTAAATAATTTCAATTGATCAACGAAAGTCAATTTGTTTGCCATGACCATTTCGTTGAGAACTTATTTGACAATATTGAACTATCTTTGATTCTTAAAATAAAGTTTACAAAAAAAGAATAATTAAAATACTATAAAAAAAACTCGAAAAGGTCGGTGCATTATCTTATTGGAATATTTAAATTTCTAAAAAAAAAAATGGAGCACTAAGATTATAATATAAACCATTATTAATTTAAAAAAAAGGCTTAATACATTTAATAATTCAAGCTTTTCCATTTATTTTAATATTAAAAATTTCTTTCCTCAAACCAAATATTCCTTGATTGTATCAAATTTCTTTGTGTCAAGTACATAGAATCACATACTTGATGAATTATAGTGGAGGAAAAAATAATTATATTTGTTAAAAGTTTTAAATGAAGCAATATTATTTTAAAAAATAAATATTATGAGAAAAAATATGAATGTATCATTGCTAATTTGGATATAAAAATTAAATATTTAGAGAGAAATAGTGTTTAAAAAAAACTTCTCAAGGGTTAGAAATTTGAGACTCGAATTCAGGTCATGGTATGAACAAAATACGATTTATAAAAAGAAAAAAAATAACTTTTATGGTATAATTTAAAAATTTTTATGTAAAAAAATAAATATATATTTAAATATTTAATTAATTGATTGATGTATGATCTCTTATCTGAAAATTAAAATTCAAATCCTATTCCCTCGATTAATATATATATATATATATATATATATATATATAATGGTGAAACTAGTTTGAAAAAAGAAACCTAGTAATATAGGCATTAAATAAATGTGTCCTAATTTATTAATAAACTTATTTCCTTTTAACCCATTTCATTTTCCTTCCTTCTTTCTCTAGATTTCTTCCTTGCTACCATCACCCATGTTGAAAACTAAGTTGTTTCTACTCTGTAATTTCCTTTCCTTTTTTTTTTGACTAAATATTAAGTTTGTCCAAAAAAAATTCATTTTTTTAAATTGAAAAAAATAATAAATTAAATTTGAGCATATTATCTTTTTTCTTTTTTTTTTTTAATCTAGAGCTCAAAATTGTCACTTTTAAGTAAACTGAGAACGATCAACATCTCCCATCAAATGCCTCTTAATTAAACTCCACTAACAGCTTGAACATCAGCTTCCAAAGTCGATGTGGATCCTAATTGCACTATTAAATTGGGTTGGTGATTATAATTATTCCAAATCAAGCATCTTTTGGGAGCAAAGGTTCTTAATGATTTGATTTTTTGTTGACTTTGGCTGAAATTTCACACTAGCTTGTTATGTCTAACCAGTTTGGATATGTTCAAATGATACTGATTGCTCAATGCCATGTTAGGGAAATGTTTATATTAATGATAATACAATTAATCATTACAATAACAATGATAATATTGATAAAAATTGATAATATTATGATATTTTTTACAAAAATTACTATATTTCATTGCATATGAATTTTTATTTCATGTGACAATCATTTATTGATCCAATTTTTAAAAAATTGTTAATTAATTGATTGAGCCTCTCATGAATCATAGATCTTGTCTTGAATTTATTCAATAAATTATTATCACATTAGGTATAAATATGATTCACCCTATAAATTTTCATATCATGTAAAGTAAAATATTTTTTTTATTTTAGAATGGAGAATTAATTTGAACTTAACTTTTTAAATAAAAAATATATACATTAATTATTGAATCAAATATTCGGATACATCAATATTTTTAGATTTATTTTATTTGTCAAATTTTACAGTCATTTAAGGAGAAAGTTTAGAATTTGTAAATTTTTAGAAGTAAATTCTTAGATTGGGAAAAACAATAGTATGAACTTAGAGCATATGAAACAAGCTCTAATATAATAACATTAAATTCTCAAAATAATAATAAAAAGAAAGTTTGGGTAGTTAGAGGGCTAGAATTGGGATATTGGGGGAGCTACCAAAGATAATGAAAGAATTGCTGACATTGAGAATCGTATGTCTTTTTCCTCAAGGCCTGCTTTCCATTTTCTATCTTTTATTACTAATTTATTATTTTTGCTATGCATATTATATTATGGTTCGCATAGCCCAAGGCTGTTAGTTAGAAATTAATATTATGTATATTTTTGCATATGATTCTTATTTATTTGCCTAGAAGTGTGTGTTATTAGATGGGTGGGTTCACAAAGTGACAAGCATCATTCACTTGCAATCTTTATTAAATGCTATGCAAGTTGCAATGACTGCTCACGGGGCCATCAATCAAAAGTAATGGTGAAATTATTAGAATCATTTTTCTCATTTTTATTTTATTTTTCTCCACTTTTGTATTTGTTGGTTGTCCAAAATAAAACACACACTCCAATAACACTATCTTTAGTACAACCTAGAGATTCTATATTCAGCTTTACCCTTTTTTTTTATAAAACAAAATATTTTTTTATAAAAATATAATAAAATAATTATTATATAATTTGATTTATAAGATAAAATTATCATTTTGTAATTACTTTAATATTCTATTGACAAAAATAATTTTAAAATAACAAAAGGATAAGAGATAAAACATATTTTTTATTAAAATTTATATTTTTTTAATTTGAAATATTAATTTTTTTATAATTTATTAAAGGTATTAATAATTTATATGATTATTTATTTTGAAGTATGAATGTTTTTGATAATTTATTTATAATTTTAATTTTAATTTTGAAATATTAATTTTTTATAATTAATAATAAAATAATATTATACTTTTTTATAATACAACTTTAATTTTTTATCTTTATAATAAAATATATATATAATTTATAATTCATTTAAAATATAGTTTTAAATTAATTTTTATGTTAGAGTTCAATTTTATTATATATAAGGAAATAATTTTACAAAATGATTAAGGGTACTTTTATTTAAGAAATATTTTGGTTTGTTTCCATGGTGCGGAATAACTATTATTATTGACTTATCTCGAAATAGTTATTTCTTAGAGTGGTCATTTCTCGAATCAAACTCAAGCATAGGGAATAAATTGATGCCCCTGACCAAATATGTTGTAACTATTTTTTTTTTTTACATGTTTGGAAGAAAATAAAAGAGAAACTCTAGCTGTATGTATCAATATTAGTCTCTTTTAGCAGAATTGATATAGAAATCAATAAAGAGCGTAACTCAATTGATAGATTTGTTTGCCTTGATATAAATTATTTTATAATGTTCGAATTTATTTCCTCTCTGTTGACTGTTGGTGTTAATATTGAATGAACGATCTTTGTAGGTGCAACATATCTTATCTTAAAATAAGAGATTTACCAATCTATTTAATATAGTTTTTCTTTGAAAAGGAATTGATACAAATAAGTATCAGTTTGTTTTAACATAAAATATTTTTTAAAAATTTTATTATATATATAAAACATTTTATATTAAGTTTAACAGTTTAGGTTTAAAGAATATCAATATTTAATTTAAAATATTAAAAAATTAAAAAATAATAACATTTATCTTAACAAAATTTTAACTTAAAATATTAATATTTAAATTATTCAAGATTATTAAAATTAAAAAAATTGTAATAAAATTATTTAAGTTCTCCAAGGTCTCTAATTGGCTTGGAAGCAAGGCTTTCACAAAGTTAAACTACAGATTGATAATAAGGTAGTAGTTCAAGTTCTTAATTCTGCATTTGTACATCCTTGCTCTAACCTAGATTTAATTAGAGCAATTAAAGACTTGTTAAGCAAACAGTGAGAGATTAGTATAAGTCACATTTATAAGGAGGGGAACAAAATCGTTGATTTCTTGAATGATAGGATGGGAGTTTATATTCCACATTTGATTATTTAATAAATTTTTATTTTCAAAAAAAATATTTAAATGATTGTCACACATTTATAAGTATAGGGTTAAGATGTTTTACACAATTGATAAATATAGATTTTTTTATTGTGTATGGTAAAAAAATGATGAGATTGAATTTCTT